CCCCCCCCACGCGCGAAAAGACAACATTCTCATGTCCCTGGTGGACGAGGTGAACACCCTTACAGCGGCCGAGGCTCAGCCTCCCCCGTTGCTGGCCACCCAGCGGCCTGTCGATGCCCCCACCTTGGAGTCCTTCTTCCAACTGAATCACGGCGTGTGCGTGTGCCCTCGCCCCCTGCAAACCCGGGTCCGCTCCCTGGCCCTTTGTCATACTGACTTGCAGCCCCGCATTCAACATAGTCTCTCACCAGATCTGGTCGGACTCGTGGCCATGGCCCTCCTCCTGACCCTCCTATCCAAGGAGCATCTTGTGACGCTGAGCCATTCGTCCAACCCCTTCCTTCACATGTGCGCCCCCTTGGCGCCTCGGTCTCCCGCCTGTCTCCCTGTCTTTTGGGCACCGGCCCCCTTGGCGCCCGGTCCCGCCTCAGCACCCGATCCCCATGCCCCCCTAACCCAATGCGCATGCCCTTCCTGCCCCCCTCCGCCCCTCCGCCCCTCCCTCTACCAGTGACTTCTGTCGGAGCTTCTGTCTCTCCCCGCTGGTCTTCCCCCCTTTGTCTTCGACTTCACTCGGGGAGTTGCTGCTCGAGCGCAACGACCAAGCGGGCCTACGCTTCGTCGACCTCTCGCGCACGGAGTTTGACCTCCCCTCGGCCGAGATCCTCACCTACTTTGTGCTGTCCACGTCGATCGCCGAGCGCTGCTCGGCCGAGCAGGTGGCCGAGCTTCGCCGCGAGGGGGACACCTTCCTCCGGCGCCTGTCTCTGGAGCCGGACCGTATCGCCCACCGGGCCGCCTCCTCGGACCAGCTGGCCCGGCCAGGGGTCTCCACCCCGCCGGGCTCCATCTCCCCAGCCCAGGAAACCATTCAGGAATTCCAACAGGCCCTCTACTCACCGGCCTCCTTCGTGCTGGCGTTGCTGGAGGCGGCCCTCGGGCGACTGCTGGCCGAGTAGGCCCTGTCGAGTTCCCTTGGCATGCTCTTTCTGGCTGGTCTCTCCCCCCTCCCTCTGCCCCTCTTCTTCTTTGCCCCCCCCCCCTTGCCTGGAATGCACACATCGCGTCTCGCCCCAGCGAGATGTCCTTCTTCTTTGATAAGTTGTTCTGTATTGCTCGGCGCACTGGCCCTCTGTCCTGTTGTCGCGTCGCAGGTGCCCCTGTGGGGCAGGGGCCCCCCGAGCCGCGGAGCGAGCGAGAGGGTGTTTTTCACGTCAACGTGGGCGTGAGTGTGCTGCTCGGCACACGGACGGCGGAACGGGGGGGGGGGGGGGCGTTTTTCCTGGTGAGTTCCCCTCTCACACCTGGTGTGTATATATTATACGTGCCCCGTCTCTCTGCCTACGCCACTAACCCCCCCTTCATGTGTGAGCACAGCCTCCCTCTCTGTTCCCCTTGCTGCTTCTCGCTCTCGCTCTCTCTCTCTCTCTATCTATCTATCTAGCTCTCTTTTCATCTCTCTCCCTCGCACTCTCTGTCTCGGGCTTTCGAACTGTCCCCGGTCGGCAGGGTGATAGTAATAGGGCAGCATGATCTCCCCCCCCCCCCCCCCCCCCCCCCCCCCCCCCCCCCCCCCCCCC